AAAAGTTGGCTATTAGAGCTGTTACAATTTAATTTAAATACATAATAAACAGCTCACAAAGTCATAAATAATAATAATATGCGATTAGCGCCGACAAAATATAAAAATATTGGTGCTTAGTACTCAGTATAAAGTATAAATGATATTAAGTTATTGGCGATTAATCTCTTTAATATATAATATATAAGTAATAATAATGATGTGGCTATTTAAGCTTGTGCTAATAAATAATACCTAATATAATTTATAATATTTATTTACATATGAGTACATCGTTAAACACACTATGAACAATAATAGTATACATTTGGCTATCTGAGCCAAGTATATATACCAAAAAAACCAAATTAGTTTATAAAATTGTACTACAACAATTCTTCACTACACATATTTACGGTGGTTTTTGCATAACGGAATACGAACAACTACGACAACCAACACACATAATCACATGAACTTTACACGGGCGTTGCCCTCATTAAAATATAATAATATAATTTAAACACAAACATTAATGATAGCAACAAATGCCCGTGCATGCGTGTGTCTCAAGATCTATAAAGAAGAGGTTAGTCATTTGTGGGCAATGAACCGTAATAGTAGTGCGGGGTAATGATATCTGTGACGTAGGTAATAAACCTCAAAATATCGAATTGTTATTTGTTATTAGTCATCATACAAATTAAAATCTCTATTGCTGACTACTGGTCGCCTGGATCTATTAAGAATCTTTTTTATAGACCTTGTGTTGGATCTACCCCACGACTAAATAAAATATTTAATAAATAAAGTAAAATTCATATTAGAAATGTTATGGAAATGTTTATTTTCAATGAAATATATAATCATGATAATATAAGCCAAATGGTTTGTGATTTTGACGAAATTCGTTAAAATAAATAGGGTAAACAGATATTCTGAATACGATATACTCTATGTGGTTTAATAAATTAGATAATATTATACAAAATAATATTAAATAATAATTAACGTAAGTATTGTTAAATATTAATTTTGTATTTACATAATACAGACCATCCGTATATCAGATTCTAAATATTACCGTGAAGTAATCCACTTTCTGAAAGATAGAGAAGCTCAATACCACACGTACCAACCTCAGGAGGAAAAGGCCTTCCGAGTAGTGGTCAGAAACCTTCACCCATCTACTCCAACAGTTGAAGTCGGAATAGCAATCGAAGAAATTGGTTTCTCCGTCAGGCAAGTTTCCAACGTTTTACAAAAAACCACCAAAAATAAACTTCCTATGTTCTTCGTCGACCTGGAACCAGCCGAAATAAATAAAGACATCTTTGGCGTAACGTCATTACTCCACACAAAAATAAAAATAGAGGAACCACACAAACGTAAAGAAGTCATCCAGTGTCACAACTGTCAAGAATATGGACACACAAGAAAATACTGCTCATACTCTCCCAGATGTGTCCGCTGCGGAGGCCACCATCCTTCCTCCAGTTGCAACAAATCAAACGACTCACCTGCCAAATGTGCCCTGTGTGAGGGTGACCATTCAGCGAACTATAAGGGATGTCACATCTACAAGGACCTCCAACGCTTCCGGAAGCCAAATTTGAACAGTCATGTCACCAAAACAACGTCTCTAAAGGTCGTAACAATATAAATATTAATAATTGTAAAGCCTCCCAGCAGCAAACACCCGACATAAACTCACCCCCTCGTACTTATACCCACGCAACATCAGGCCACATTCCCAACACAAATCCCAATAATAACTCCCTGACAAATTTTCTAAGTGAATTTAAAGCTTTAATTAACCCGCTTTTATCTCTCCTCACCACTGTCCTCGATCGTCTTCTCGCTCAAAATGTTAAATAACACATTCACCTCTCAGTCCCTAGCCATCCTACTTTGGAATGCCAATGGCCTAGCCAATTATAGAAACGAACTAATTACATCACTAAATGAAAAACGAATAGACATAGCACTCATCTCAGAAACACATTTTACGTCCAACTCCAAATGTTCTTTTCCCGGGTACAACACCTTTTTCTCATGCCATCTCGACAACACCGCCCATGGTGGAGCCGCCATCATTATCAGATTATCACTCCAATTTACCGCTACCCCCCCTCACCAAATTAATAACGACTTTCTACAAGCGGCGATAGTTAATATTAACTTAAACTACGTGCCAATAACCGTTGCAGCAGCATACTGTTCCCCCAAACATAAAATCACGCCTTCACAATTTGATTCCTTTTTCAACTCTCTTGATCGCTACTTCATTGTAGGAGGCGATCTAAACGCCAAAAACCAAACTTGGGGCTGTCACTCAACTAATCCAAAAGGACACTCTTTATTCCAATCAATTATCAGCAATCATCTCACTATCCTTAATCCCCCAAATCCGACCTATTGGCCTACTTCTACCAGAAAGCGTCCGGACATACTCGACATTTTCGTTATCAAAATTCCAACTAATCTAAATCATCTAATAAAAAACTTATTAGACCCAAACTCTGATCATATTCCAGTCTTTCTCTCCTTAGACGGTCATCCTTCCTCTAAACCAAACAAAGCATGTCTTATGAACAATTCTACGAATTGGACTAAATTTCGTGAAATAATAAATGCAAAAATAAACCTCAATATTAGTTTAAAGACTCCAAACGAGGTGGAGGATGCAGTTCAAAATTTCACTGAATCCATTCAATCAGCTGCTTGGAATTCTTCTACCATCCAAAATTATCATACCAATTCCCATGCAACTTCCACCCACATTAGAGAACTAATTACTCAAAAGCGCCGAGCCCGAGCTAGATGGCAACGCACTAGACTCCCCTCAGACAAAAACTTGCTCAATAATCTTGCCTCATCCTTAAAACGAATGTTAAGTAAAATAAGAAATGAATCTTTCAATAACTGGACCTCCTCACTTACCGCAGAAAGTGGGTCACTCTGGAGGGCAACCCGCAGCTGCCTGAAGCAGAAAACCGCCCAAGTTCCACTAAAAAATAGTAACGGCAACTGGTGAAAAACAGATAAAGAACAAGCTGATGCCTTCTGCTCACACCTCTCAAAAGTCTTTCAACCCCATAATGATATTAACAACAATCTTCTGGACACAAATATTGAAAACTCCCTCTTCTCCCCTTTACCTCTCTATCTTGCTCCCAAACCGTTCTCACCAAACGAGGTTCAATACTATATTAAATCTTTTCCTCTTAAAAAATCACCCGGAATAGATCTAATCACCGCAGAGGTAGCAAGACAACTCCCTAATAAAGCAATTATTCACCTAACCCATATTCTTAATTCTATATTAAGATATATATATATATATATATTATTCTATATTTACTATCTTACATGCCCCTTCAATGGAAGGTCTCAGTAATAATCTTATTCCCGAAACCTGGCAAACCCCCTGCCATTCCATCATCAATCGCCCAATAAGCCTCCTTCCTTTCTTTTCAAAACTCTGTGAAAAAATTAATTATCAAACGCATATCACAGCTCGTTAACGATAAAAACATAATTCCTCATACCCAATTTGGTTTTCGTAACAAGCACTCCACCATACACCAGATTCATCGCTTAACCGACGCCATTGCTTACTCCTTCGAAAACAAACTTTACTGCTCCGCAGTGCTACTCGATGTTGCACAAGCATTCGACAAAGTCTGGCACACTGGACTTCTGTATAAACTAAAACAATTTCTCCCTCCTCCCTGCTTCCTATTCTTTCTATTCTAGAAAATCGCCACTTTGTAACTAAAGTAGGCTCAGAATTCTCAAACCTAGCACCCATCTTAGCGGGCGTCCCCCAAGGTGCCATTTCGTCCCCAATTCTGTATAACATATACGCCGCAGACCAGCCAACTTCTTCTAATACATCAGTTGCTGAATTTGCCGACGACAAAATCATCTTCACCTCTAATGAAAACCCTCTTGTCGTCAGCCAACATCTACAAAATCATCTTAATGAGATGGAAGTATGGTATTCAAACTGGAAAATAAAAATAACCAACGAAAAGTCTTCACATATAACCTTTACTCTCAGACAAGGCGTAGTCCCTCCTGTCTCTCTGGCAAACAAAATAATACCATCAGCTACCAAAGTTAAATACCTAGGCCTTCTTCTCGACAAACGCTTAACTTTGGCCGAGCATATTAAATAAAAACGCCTCTTACTTAACTCCAGACGAAAAAGTTTTTACCCACTGCTAGGCAAACAACCCAAGCTAAACCTTAAAAATAAACTATTGCTTTACAAAACCCTTCTGAAACCCATTTGGGCTTACGGTATCCAATTATGGAGAGCGACAAAAAAATCGAACATATATAAAATGTTTGCCATTTCAATCAATAACACTTCGTATAATCACCAACGCTCCCTTTTACGTTACCAATCATACTTTACACTCTGATCTTGGACTACCGACTGTAACCGAAGTGGCCACATCCTCCTACAAGCGCTACCGATCTCGCCTTACAAACCATCCCAACCCACTTATGCTCGCTCTCAACTCCGCAAACATTCCAGGTAATCCACCGAGAAGATTAAAGAGACGCTGGTGTCGCGATTTAGATACCTAAATTGTCACTATTTTAAATTAAATAAATAAGAGAAAAAAGAAAATATATATATATATACGTATACTTAAGTAAAATGTACATTATGTAATGTAAAAATCACCTTAAATATCATGTCGAGTGTTACCGCTGGGTTGCTACTTGCTACTCACCTCACGCATTCGCAACAATAATTGTATTTCAACCCATATGCTTATTGTAACCATTATTACAGATTGTATATATTCTAATAAATGTTAAAAAAAAAAAAAATATTTACAAGTTAAGTATTAGTAGATAATATATAAGTAAGTATATTAACATTATTTTTCGTTTTAATATCTAATTTTGTCAACATTTTAACTTCAAATGTCTCTAAAAAAAAAAAATTTTGCCTATGTATGTTTCATAGGTGGTAGGTACATATTTTAGCTGTATCTATAATGTCTGGTACTATGTGCGCAGTTGTATGCTGCAAAAATAGATTGAAAATTACAAAATGTTTGGCAAAAGATATTTCCTATCACACCTTTCCCAAAGACTCTGAACCAGAGCATTTAAAAACTTGGATTTTGAGAACTAAACGAACAGACAAATTTAATCCTAAGTCATATCATATTTGTTCTGAATACTTTGATGCTGATGACTTTGAAAGAAATTTAAAAGCTGAAATGTTGAACTTAACAGTAAAAAGACAATTAAAAAAAATCTGGTAAGCGTGACAATTATTGTCATTTATATCAGACATAAAATACAGGTACCTAACTTTATAATATAATAATAATATTTTCATATAAAAATATCTTTATAGAAATGCATACACAATTTCTATGAATAATATATAACCAACTATTTTGATATAAGTTCATAACATATAAATACTATTGTAATTATATTTTTTTTTTTTGTTAAAACTTTTCAAAAAATAAATTTAATATTTATTAAAATTAAAATATATCAATAAATAGTAGGTACCTATATCCCATACAAATTATTTTAAAAAATACAAAATTAGTACAAAAATAGGTAATTATTTATTATTTGTCTTTTTTATTCAAATATAGCTGTTTCATCTTTAAAACTGCTGGCAAATGATTAATCGTCTGAAAATACTTCAAAAAAAGACATTTTTGAACAATGACTGATGATATAATTATTGAAAACTAAAAGGTAGATGAAATGATAAGGATAGTTTATGATGATGAATTTAACTTAAAATTTTATGAATCAACAAATGAAAAAACACTCAGCATATTGATAGAAATATTTTTATTTAATTTGTAAATAAAAGATAATAAAAAGTACTATAAAAACATGTTCCCTAAACAATACTATAATATTTAGAATACTCTTCAGATAATTTAAATAGTTAAAATTAAAAAAAATAATATATTTTGAACTGTTTGCGCCAAAGTGCAGTGCGCAAGGTTTTGGCAGGACTGCGTACGTTGTCTCATTGTCAGCTTGCGATTGTGTTTCTGTTATCAAGCTGATAGTGGACCGCGTACGACAGTCCGTTACTTTTATAAATTCGTAGTTTTCATATATTTTTATTTATTATGGTTTTGTCCAACCAGGGCCGGATTGGTATGTATCGGCCCATCGAGATTTTCACTTCTAAGCGGCCCATTTATATGTTCACCGGCCCAAAATTTGTACAGTAAATTTTTGACAAGGTATTAACGAGGGTATAAGCCCCCCCCCCCCCCCGAAAAATTGTATTATTAAGATTATTATATTTTACTGTATTACGTCATAGCCACAGTGCCGTATTTACCAGTAAACACTATAAGCTAGTGCTTAGGGCGGCAATTTCTCAAGGGCGGCAAATAATTTTTAATATTACATTTTAACTAAAATAAATGCTACTAATTATAAAATGTTTTTAGACCAATGGGATTGTGGTAATATTTATATTTTATGTTTTTCAATTTCATAATCGTAGAGTTTATCGCTCTATTATATATCATTGCTATTGCTACATTATTTATAAATTTTTCGTTATCGTGTTGTAAACAAGTGGATACGACGAATTCGATTGTGTGTTTATCTGTACCTAATCACAATAAAAAAAACCCAATCATTAGTCAATGAAATCGCGAACGAGCTCATAGTGTAACATGTTCTATAGTATTATAGTAACGAACGTGTTCACTGTTCAGTGTTATTTTTTTTTAGTGCAGACGAAGTTCACACTTTTCTTATTTGTATGAATATTTGATTTTTTAAATTTTTATTTGTAACATTTTTAATAAAACTATAGTAAAATGAGTGACGGTCGATCACGTTTAAGTGGCTATAAGTATAAAAAAATCGCGGAAGAAAAAAAAAATCAATTAAATAACTTAGTGCAAAAAATCCCAAAAATAGATTATTTTTTTAAACCAACCACTTTTTTAAATGAAGTTGAAAATTATGAATCTACACAGAAAACGCTCGCTAGTTGTTCAAACTCGGGTACTAGTACTACGGACGTCACTTATATTCAAAACGTCACATCTTCAGAAAGTTGTTTAAATAATACTACTGAAAAAGATAATGTACCAATAGTCGATTCAATCAGCGAGGATCCTGCAGAATGGGTAATTAATGATTTGACAATTGATCGCTTATTACTAAAAGAAATAAAACAAAATATTGACTATGATTTATTATCAACAAAATTAGAGTTTGGGAATAAAACGCGATACTTAAAAAAAAGTGTATTTTATCGGAAACTTTTAAATGGAGAACAACAGCTTAGAAAATTTTTAATTTATTCTCGTAGTAAAAATGCAGTATTTTGTATCCCCTGTCGATTGTTTGGAGGTTCTACTAAACTTGCTACAGAAGGTTTAATGGACTGGAGAAACGTTATTAAGATTGTAAAACAACATGAAGTCTCTAAGGAACATACTAACTGTCAAATAGTATTTTTACGTAGGAGCAATAATATTGGGAGAATAGATAGTGATCTCTGTATTCAAATAAATAATGAAATAGATTATTGGAAAAATGTGTTGAAACGGGTTATTGCTGTCATAAAAAAACTGGGAAGTCGTGGTCTTCCATTTAGAGGTTCCGTGGAAAAATTTGGAAGTCAAAATAATGGTAATTTTATGATGTGTTTAGAATTAATATCTGAATTTGACCCTTTTCTAAGCAATCATATAGTTCAACATGGAAACCCGGGCAGTGGTCATACATCTTACCTTTCTTCTACAACATGTGATGAAATAATTACATTAATAACAACACAAGTTACTAATGTAATTATAAAAGAAATTAAAAGTGCAAAATATTTTTCGATTGTGATAGACTCAACTCCTGATATCAGCCACACAGATCAGTTAGCATACGTTATTCGTTACGTTAGAGATGACGGTTTTCCTGTCGAACGCTTTATGTGTTTTTTACCAAATATTGGGCATAAGTCTGAAACACTTGAAACGGCCGTATTGTCTTTTTTAACTAAACATGATATTGACATAAACAACTGCAGGGGCCAGTCGTACGACAACGCCGCCAATATGTCGGGAATTTACTCGGGTTTACAGGCAAGGATAGTAAAAAAAAATCCTTACGCGTATTACGTACCATGTGCTGCTCACTCGCTAAACTTGGTTGGGACTTGTGTAGCTGAATGTGTAAAAGAAGGATTATCGTTTTTTAACACTATTCAACATCTTTATTCTTTTTTTTCTGCATCTACTAGACGATGGGATATTTTAAAGTCTAGCCTAACGCTCGGTAAAAAAGTTGTCAAAAGAGCAGATGGAACTAGGTGGTCTGCTCGGCATGAAGCTTGTGACAGCTTATATCAAAACTATGACGGTATTATGAAAAATTTAAGTTTATTAGAAGAAGATAATTTTGAAAAGGCGACGACGCGTTGTGAGGCAGCTGGCTTAAGACGTCAACTTGACCGTTTTGAAACAGTTTTTATGACTGTATTTTGGAATACAATTTTGGAGCGTTTTAATAGCACAAGTAAAGAGCTTCAAAAAGTAAACATAGATTTGGGGATAGTTGTCAAACTCTATAAATCATTAATTAACTTCATAACATCTATTCGAAATGATAAATGTTTTAATGAATACGTAATTTTGGCAAAAAAAATAAAGAGTGAAGAGTACGAGTTTGATAAAGTAAGGACTAAAAAACGCAAACTTCAAGCAGACGAGACAAGAGAAAATGAAGTTCATATGACTGGAAGTGATAAGTTAAGAATAGAAACATATTTTACCATACTGGACCGAGTGAAGAGTGAACTTGAAAAAAGATGCGCTGCTTATACTAATACATTTGACAAATATGACTTTTTGACTAATTTAATACTACTTTCACCAGAAGAAATAACTCAAAAAGCTAATAAGCTTCAAGAATTGTATAGCGATGATTTAGAAAAATCATTCGCTTGTGAATGTGTTCATTTTCGAGCATATCTTCAAAGTATTAATACAAATATTGATGGAGTTATCGAATTATCAATACACTTACGTGGTAATAATTTAGATACAGTTTTTCCTAACGTAGATAATGCTCTACGTATGCTTTTATGTATGGCAATAACTAATTGTTCAGCCGAGAGGTCTTTTTCTACGTTAAAACGTGTAAAAAATTATTTGAGAGCAAGTATGGAAGGAGATAAACTAAATTCATTAAGTTTATTGGAAATTGAAACTGAACTAGTGAACAAAATGGACTTCGATGCCATAATAGATGATTTTGCGACTCAAAAGTCACGCAGAAAGCCGATGAGCACTAGACATTAACTATTTAATTTTGAATATAATAATTAACTATTTAAGTATTTATTACTACCATGTTTTTTATCATTATATTTTATATCGTATTTTTATAATTAAATTTTTTTATGAATATGTATATGTATGCATTTTTATAACAGCTGTATATTTTTATTTTTCATTATTAAAATTTTAAGTAATAAAGAAAAAAATAATAATTGTATGATTTAATAACATTTTTTACACTAGAAAAATATTTGTATTAAAAGGCGGCAATTTATTTTGTGCTTAAGGCGGCACAATGGTTAAATCCGGCACTGCATAGCCAATTAATTGTAAGTAGTGGCGTAGCCAGGAATTTTGTATAGGTGTAGTGCTAACCATACAAATACAATATTATGTCTTTTATTTATACTTTTTATTCTTTTTACTATTCTTGATACAAATTTAAGGTCAACACGGTCAAGGGAGAGAGGGTGTTAAGCCCCCTTGGCCACTGATTGTAAGACGTTAAATAAATATAATAATGAATATAGACAATATTAAACTTTCACATAAATACATTATACATAGGTAATGTATATAATAATACTTAATTATAAATTATATTATCATACATACAACAAAATAAAATAATAGTATAATATAAAAATAATAATAACAATAGTCAATAAGTATGTCTTAACAATATTAAACATTTTTTTAATGAAACAATAAAATTACATATTCAACAAATTTGCCATTTTTGTATTCTTTTTGGACAATTCGTTTATTATTTCATTATTGTTTAAATTAACTAAAATATCTTTTTCGACAGACATAATCAAAAATGTTTCCAGTTTAGATTGACTTAAACAATTCCATAGTCTATTTAAAACATACTTTAATTTTGAAAATGTGGTCTCACATCTCACTTGACTACATGAAAGCGTTAAGACATACTTATAAGCCATATACAAGTTTCTATATGCATTTGAATGTAAATTATATTTTTGTAGAACTTGGAAGCAACAAATAATGCAATTTTTACAAGCTAAATTTTCATTTAATTTCAAACACAAACTGGTTGAAGATGCTGTATTATTCTCTTCATTTTTATCTTCCTCATTGTTTTCCTGATCATCGTCATCATTTATAGTGATTGTAGCAGAAGCAATGTTTTTCATTTTTGGCCATTTTTCTATAAAATCTTTTAATTCAGACTGTATAGATCCTGGACTTATATTGGAATCAAATTTTCTAAGCTTTTTACTAATCCATTCAAAGGCTGTGCTTGGTAAATTATTAGTGAAATATTCTAGAATTAAAAACTGTAAATCATTATAAAGTTGACTATGTGTTTCAAACCGTTTTTTTAAACTTGTTATTATTTGATCATAAATAACATCATATACATTAATATTGAATTTTAGCATTGGGTCTGTCTGAGCCTCATCATCAGCTATTTCTCCCGGCATTTTCCTTTTCTTTTTAATTCTTTTCATGGGAAACTTTTCTTCAATATTGTATTCTAATTCTATGTCATCCATTTTACAATTGGCCAATTCAATAAATGTCCTTGTCAAATCTTTAATATGATTAAAGTCTCTGGCTTTAGACTGCAAAGTACTAATTGTTGTTTTTACCATGCTAAATGCATGTACACCATTCATTCCTTTTGTCTGTAAATATAATGATAATGGTGTAATGTATACAAATATTTCTTGAAAAATATGTGCGGTTAGGACAGTTTCATATTTTAAAAGACCATCAATAAAACATTTTGCTTTAAAGCGCACATCTTGAGCAAATCCATTTGATTCATAAATTTCATTTAATGTCTGTATAATTTCAACATACAAGCATTCATTAGGATTTAAATAGGTACCGAATACTTTAGTTAAGCATCTGTCTTTGGCCCACCAACGTGTATCTCCAATACAAGAAATAAATTTATACTTGCTATTTTCATGCCACTTGTTCATTCTAAGATATGATTCTCTGACAAACACCGCTATTGAATTTAACAAACCAAATAATGTAGTACTTTCATTGCATACTTGAGTTGTATCAATCATAACAAGATTAAGCACATGTGCATAACACCATACATGTACTTGCTCAGGTGATTCTTTATTTAACCATAATGAAAAACCATTGTATTGACCCCGCATATTACTTGCACCATCAGTAGAGCTGCCAATACAGTTTTTAACATCTAAATTAAGATTATTCAACGCTTTACACACAATATCACATAGATTTTTACCTTTCCCGCTTTTACAATCAACAATAGCTAATAGTTTTTCATTTATATCATCAGTCACAAACCTAATAATAATTGCAAGCTGGTCATGCACATTAATATCTTGGGTAGAATCAATTTGTATTGTAAAAAACGGCGCTTTTCTAATATTTTCAGCAATAGTTGTTTTCATTAAAGATCCAATTATTTCTATAATATAATCTACAGTGGTTTTTGATAGAAAAGTTACCAGACCACCAGGTCGGCCTGGTCTAGATACAGTTTGACGATTTTTAGATTTTTGACTTTTGTAAATAGCTCTATATGTATGTTCTTTAAGAACTGGATCATATTTAGATAAAAGCATAACCATCTCTAAAAAATTCCCGTGGTCTAATGAAGGATCATTTAATGTGTATGCCGCTTCTGCATCCTTGGCACCACGGTAACTTAGACCTAGCTTACCAATTAATTTTATAATATCGATTAGTCTTTCCAAAACCACCTTGTTTCTTTTAACTTCATATCTCTTTCCACTAGTAAATCTTGAGTTAATGTCAGACATGTTAGAATTAAGTAAAAATGCTTCAAAATTGTTTTCATGATTTTTTGATTTTTCGTGTTCGCTTATTCTAGTATACAAATTACTACTTGACGAAGGCAAACAACCTATTGTAAACCGATTATCTTCAGCATTAAATGCTAAACAAAATGTACAGAAAAATAAATTGTTAGACTTTGAATAAGTAAGCCACGTTCGTTTGATTGTTAAATTTGTTTCTTTTCGAAAATAAGCTTTCATAGGATGAAACGTGATGCCACTTAATGGTTGTATAGGATGAAAATTAAAAAATGACTGCAAATTTTTTGTTAATGGTTTACTAAAATAATTTGGTGAATCTACAACGTTATCAGGTGTCTTACTTCTTGTATCCACATCACTTGGATAACTCTAAAGTAATAATATTAATAAACATTATGTGAGATTGAATTTTTATACACTTTTAATTATTAGAAATATTATATAGTTTTACCTGATCAACTATAACTGTTTGGCATATGTTTGTTATGTTAGTATCAAATGAATTATCATTAAGCTCATCAATGTTTGTAGAAAGGCTAGAAGTCTATAAAATATAAATTATAAAAAAATAAATAACTAAGTTTACTTGTTCATGTTATTAAAAACATTTAATATACTTACAGATGATGCGTACCTGGAGGTGGAATGGGATGGTTGTGTGTTGAGGTAGCAAAAATAATAACACGATTCCTTTTCGGTAAAAGTCGGTATTCACCGGTTTATTGATGTTTAAAAAATGAACAAATGCTAGGTCACAAGTATGAATCCGGTGAATGGTCACAATTGTGAAATCAAAGGTTCACAGTACGCGAGTCGAACAAAAACCTAGGTCGTTGTACCGCGTACGGTGTATGGTGAAAAAACTCACTCCGGTCGTCGGACCGGTTGGCGGTGTCGGCGGTCAAGACGTTCCGACGCCGTTGATCGTGCGTCTGCGTCGTCCGTCGTCACTGGCGGTTGGATAGAGAAGTCGTTCCGCGGTTTTCCGCGTAAAGGCCGTTTGAATTCAAACGGAATATTACGCGGGACCGCGTCACAGAGCTATACTCAACTACAACGTTATCAGGTTGCAATGCTTCACTAGATGTCTCAATTAATTCTAATAGTTAAAATAAAAATAATTTTGTATTAATTCAATTTTATTTATATGATTTAATATTTAATAATTAACTTAATAATGCAGTTTTTTTGAAAAATCACCCATGTTAAATTGAAAGTTTAAAGCTAATGGTTTTGCAGTTGAAAAACAAATTTTTTTTTGTTTTGGATCATTTCCAGCAGCTATTATACCAAGTAACCTTTTAAGTCTAGCCTTTTCTGCTCCTCCTTTCGGACGTTTTATTGTTTTCTCATCACAATTCATTTTTAATTTGTTCAATTTTACGAGTCAAAAGTAAAACAACACTTATGGATAAGAAATTGGAACTGATGACAAAATAATAAATATTATGGACTATCGTGGTCTATTTGTTATCAACAGTCTATTTTTAAACATCGCTAAATGTGTCAGCACAGAATTATTCTGTGGTATCAGTGTAAACATACTATCGGATAATAAGACGTAATAACCGATAAAAATAATAATAATAATAGACAATAGCTTACATAACTAGCAATTGCCTAGTGTCTACTAGATGTATAATGTGGTTTATTGGTTTATTACAATATTATTACATCTTAAGTTGTTACGAACTTATCGTATATTAAACATGAATTTATTTTCACCCGTACTCTGATACGATGGCGACGGCCCATCGCCCAAAATTTAAGCGGGCCCACCGAGATTTTCTCGGTAGCTCGCCTAACCAATCCGGCCCTGTGTCCAACCAATCTTTTTATTTTTATTATATACTTGTGTCATCAATTATTGTACTGAATTTATTATCTTATTGTATCTCGATGACACTGTCCGCAACAAAAGCCTATAAAAGGCTGGACGCACCAGCTCAGAGTGCCTTTTTCTTTTGTCTTTTTTCTTCATATACTTTGGTTCGAAGACATCTCATTAATATTTTATTTCAAAGCACATGTGCCAAGTTTTTGTTTCTTTAATTGTATTGCATCATAAATTCCTGGTAAAGTATCGTTTCTATTATAAATTGTATTGTAGATTATTGACCATATCTTTTCCCAAAATAGGGTGGTCATTTATGTTGGTTTGCGTTTTATGTTGTGGTGTGCAATTGGCATTATTCGTCAGTGGTTACTTAAAGCGGTCGCACGTGTGCGGTTGTTCTTAATATTAAGTTCCTTTTTGTATTATTATTATAAGTACGTCCCCGACACGGTCGCGTGGGATAAAATCCACCGCTTAAGATAACTACTTGTGTTGTGATTGTGAGTATCAATTTTGTATATGTTATACCATTATATTCATTTCTTTTTATATTATATTCATTGTGCTAATCAAGTACGTTAAAAAATCATTTAATATTGTATTCACTGTGCTAATCAAGCACATTAAAAAATCATTTCTTTTTATATTATATTCATTGTGCTAATCAAGCATATTAAAAAAAATCATTTAATATTATATTCATTGTGTGCTAATCAAGCATTTTTATATTGTTGTATGCTAATCAAGCATTATTTTATTATATTATTACATGCTAATCAAGCATTAAATTATTATATTATTGTATTCAAGCATATTATTTTTATTTTTATTGTTATTGGTTGCTAAACAAGCAATTCAAATTATATATTTACATTAATTTATGTCACAGTTATTTTATTATAGTCGAATCACGCACATAAATATATTATTTGTTTTCTTATTATCATAGTGTGAAAGCGCATTCAGAAACATTAAGTTTTTTTTTTATATTAACACTGAACGCTAGTCGCGCCATCATGTACAAAATAGATATTCTAATTGTTTATAATCAAACCATTATTTAAAACATTACCAAAATTATAATATATTATATTATATTTATATTGTTCAGTTACTTTTGATTTAAAAAATTTGTTTTTGTTTTTATAAATGGAATATTATCATAAGAAAAATAATTATGTTTTAAATATATTATTTGAATTTTTTATTTTTTATTATGAAAAATTGTATTTTAATACTAATTTTTTTAATATTATTCAGTTATACTTAATTTTTGAAAATTGTTCAAGTTTTGTTTTGTTTTTTTGTTATTAAAGGGATATTATACAAAAATTATTTTGTTATTAATTTATAAATGCTATTGTTATAATGAAAAAATTGTCATCATATTTTATATTTTATAATATGTCTTTTTGAATTGTTTAATTACATTTTATTGGGTACCAAACTAAAAATGTTATTCTCATAACATATTTTTTCTCTGAGTCATTATGTCCATTGTAATAGACAACCCTCCCATTTTGGCAAAAATGGGTAAAAGTACTCCCAAATTTTTTATTGGATTTATAATATTCTAAAAATAAGGTTTCTTGATTTGAATATTTTTTTTAACCATTTCATAATTTGGGACAAATATAAGTGGGATAGAGTTCCTTTTTGTCCACCTGAATTAAAATTGAAAGATTTAGAAGAAAAAAATTATCCACCAGAAATGCCTTCTATAACTGATTATTTTTATGAATATTTGAAGGATGATATATTTGAAAAAATTGTGTATTATACTAATTTATATGCCATTCAAAATTCCCAAACTAGATATAAACCCACCAATTATAATGAAATAAAAAAGTTCATTGGGATTCATTTGATAATGGGTTGTCTAAAGTATCCACGTGTTCGTTTATATTGGGAAAATGCTACTGCTGTGAATATTATTGTTGAAAATATGTCCAGAGATCGATTTTTCACATTACGTAAAAATTTTCATTTAATCGATAATACAGAAATTCCAAAAAATAATACAGATAAATTTATAAAAGTTCGTCCTTTATACGATGCAATTAATAAAAAATGTAATAGTTTGCCGGTTAAAAGAAGGTTAAGTGTCGATGAAAAAATGGTTCCCTATAAAGGACATTTGCAAATGAAGCAATATGTAAAAGGTAAACCCAGTCCGTGGTGTATAAAAGCATTTTTGTTATGTGATGAAAGTGGTATGGTTTACAACATACTACTTTATCAAGGGGTTACCACTGAACTAGATACAAGTACACAAAAACAATTTGGTCTAGGCGCTAGTGTAGTATTGCATTTAACAAAACACCTTGATTTTTCAAGGTTAATAAGCATTTTATTTTTTTTTGATAATTTTTTTTTAAACGTTTAATTTATTTGAACAGTTGCAAGCTAACCAAATATACTCTGTTGGTACTATTCGTACTAATAGATTTGCAAATCCACCCTTATTAACCGATAAACAATTAGCCAAAATGGGAAGAGGTACAGTCTTTGAAATTTCAACTGATATAGAGAATTGTAATTTAAGTATGGTGAGGTGGTATGATACAAGGTCTGTTACCTTAGTTTCCAATTATATAGGTCCGAACAGTTGGACACTGTAAGACATTGGGATAAAAAATTAAAAATGTACGTCAATATTGAAAGGCCAGAAATAATAACAGCATACAACACATCAGTGGGTGGTGTCGATAAGGTAGACCAACTCATCAATTATTATCGAACATTTATACGTTCAAAAAAATGGACACTACGGATGATTATACATGCTTTCGATCTAATAGTTGTTAACTGTTGGGTACAATATAAAAAAGACGCTGACCATTATAACATAAATAAAATGAAATAAAAGATCTGCTACATTTTCGAATGGCACTTGCGGAAAATCTCATAAAAATAGGCCAAAATGTACCAATAAAACGTAGAGGAAGACCTCGTGCAGATACAGGAGATAGTAATGAAGTTTCAACGATACCCAAAGTACGAAAAGTCGATTCTAGTCAGCCAACAGATGATGTGCGAAAAGATAAATTTGATTATTTTCCTGGGTTTGATACAAAAAGTCACACTTCGAGATGCAAAACTCCTGGATGTAAAAGAAAAACGCACATATTTTGCATAAAATGTAATATCCACTTATGTCTTGATGGTACAAGTAATTGTTTTTATAATTTTCATCAGTAAAATGTTAACAAAAGGTTTATATATATATATATATATGGGTAATATATAGAATGTTATTTTTTTTTATCACAGGTAAAACACACACAGATTTGTTTTTATTTTTTTTTATTTAAAGTTGTTTTTATAAGTATAAATGTATTTTTTTTTATTATATTTTATAGCGTATTATACTTATTGATAATTGTTTAGATTTTAATATTTTTTGTTACCATAGTGAATCAATGTCACTTATAGAGGACATACTCCTAAGTCCGTCAATAATTAAAAAAAAAAAATTTTAACGTTTTATTTTTCTTCGTTTCCATAGTAAAAGAAATATGCAAAAAAAAGAAATTATTTTGATAGAAGTTAACTCGGGTCTGAAAGAGTTAGAATATTTTTGAATTGAATTATAAAAGTTTTTGAATAAATCCTCCTCATCTCTTTTTTGGTTAAGTGGATGTACCAGGCGCGGTTCTAAGACTAAATTTTCGTATGGGCAACAGTAGATTTAAAATTAGGTTTTAACTGCGTATAATCCTCCCCCTTCCCCACAACATTTATATAATAAAATTATAGTATTATTACCTATTATTATAGTGTATAGCTTAAAATATTCATATTAATTGTTACGTACCGTGTTATTTCAACATATATATATTATACGGAGAGGTGATGTGTATACCGATGGAATAATATATTCAAACAGTGTAGCACCAACGGATAGGGCGAACACCTGCACATCGTGATATTTAATATAATGAATAAGACATGATCATACGTCCTGGACTTCTCAGAAATGATGAGTAAACGATAGTGTTAACATTGTACTATTTAATATGACAATTAAGACTTGATCACACGTCTTGTAATTCTTAGAACCGATGAAATCGCAAGAAAGGCACCCAACTCACAACTGAATAATACATTTAATTTAGAGAGCTCCTTTAGGTCATCGGAAGTCGTCACCTCCCCAGTCACCACTCTTGACGGTTAACCATATATAAGGGAGACCGGGGCAAGAGCTCAGCAGACGGTTAGGGATATTCGAGACGCTCAGAGGCAGGTCGTAACACCACTCACACCATCTTGTGCTTATAAAATTGTATTCTTGTACGAGTTAATTGTATTAAATAAAGACTTAATCTTTTAACTTGCAAACATTAGTATTTCTATTTCTACGTTGATATATGAATCGACGTTGACATAAGGGACGCAACATAAATATAATAGCTAGGTAATAAAGGTTTTAAATATAAAAAAAATAGAGTAATCCATAATTTTGAACTAATTATGTATAATTATATTTATTTAAATATATTTAAATTTAACTGTCAAAAAAGTTCAGACTGTTCAAACTAATTTTAAAAAATATTGTAAGCTAAATTTGAAATTGTATTCTTCTGTTTTTCATGCTTGAAAAAACTTCAAGGACAGCAGTTGGATCTTTTAATAATTTGTCTGAGTTTTCAAAATCAATTGATAAAAGTGTAAGACTACTTAATCGTGAACTCTTCATAGTTGATCTTAAATATGTCTTAATGTTTTGGGTTAAAAGCAATACTGCTATTTACACTGGTGTTTTCACTAGCTGTAGAATTATTTGTATGTACTGATGGAGATTTAGGTGTGTCTCCTTCAATTGTTTTTTCGGCCTTATGTTTGGAAAAATGAGTTAAAAATCTCTTCATTATATTAAATTAATAGAAACAACGAAAATTCACAATGAGAAAAAAACAATACAATAGTCAAATTATATTTACACAATATGTAATAATTTGTTATCACGTTATGCCGGTTATTATGAAGATAGCTACCGTTTCGAACGTCTGGTGTCGTTCGCTTCCGCCATGAACTAAGATAGTACTATCAACGCTAAAACAGCGGCAAGCTCTACTATAGCCACAGATATATACTAATACTAGATAGCCGTCTTTGTATACACCGCCGCAAAATAATTGAAACCGACGCCATATGCAAAGAATACAACTCGGTAAACAAACGTTATCAATATTAGACTTTTATCAGTATAATACATATTATTATATTATAGACATTTATTTATATCATTGTATTACTTAGTACTTACCTATATTTTATTAATTCTCACTTTTTCAGTTCTCTGTTTTATAGTATTAGACAAAACTGTTAATTAACCTATACAGTATGTATTTATACTAATCTACGTAAATTTGGGATATAACTAAATTGTAATGTTTTATGAATTATGAAATATGAAATAAGGAAACATTGTCAAAAATACTAGGATATAAATTACAGGTACTACCTTATTATAATTACTTATATTATTAACAAAAATAACAATTATTAAACAGTAGGTAATACAAATATAAGTAGGTAGGCACTACTATTTACCAACAATAAGTAATTTATTATTCAACTAGAATACTGAACGACTGAACAGAATATCATAATATTATTTTGTTGTTTACTAAGTGATAACGTTTGTTTACCGAGAGTATTCTTTGCATATGGCGGCGTGTTTCACTGATAACAAGAAGACGGCTATCTAGTATTAGTATATATCTGTGACTATAGCAACGACATTATCACATAGATAATATTATATTAGCACGATTAAAGATATAATACCTATTATATCTTTAATCGTGTATATTAGTAAGTTCGTCATCAATGCAATGATAATAATATAATTGTAAATTATCATTATAATTTATCAAATTATGAACCATCTTATTTTTGTATAAAAATAACATTTTTAAAATAATGGGCACCAGAAATTTTGGTATGGGCAGCTGCCCACTCTGCCCATACGCTAGAACCGCCACTGGGATGTACCCAATATTTTCTCGTTGTTTTAGGAGTTTGTGAAGTAGAATCATCTACTTCGACGCAAATTATACTTAAAATTTCGTAATCACTCATAATGAAAAAAAAATCGACTACACTAGTCACAAACAGACTTTAACAGAACTATGTGACTATGTCAGGCAATGATTAAGTAAAAATATATAATATTAGTATTTTAAGAAAAATATTTTCATATAAATAAATGTCGCACACGTATCGTGTGATCGAACACAGCTGTAGTGGAATTTCCGCATTCATATTTTCCGTGTAGTAAAAACGCATCGTGTGGCCCGAGCCTAAATGGTAATAATAGTTTATTTATAATATTTTATTTATGATAATATGGTAATTCACTCTAGTTATTGATTTATAGTAAATTGTTTAAATATAATATTACTTAAATACTATCTTTAAAATAGATGTTATTTCACCTGTATCAATCTCTAAGAATGTATTTTCTGTTCAAAATGATTTAATTTAAATTTAGTGATTTAATATTTAATACATTCATTTTCAGCTCTTCACAAAACTTTATACATGAACGTGTGCATCATGATGATGATAGGAACACGTGTCACTGAGATGTATAATTCATTCAAATCTTTTTCAAAAACTTTTATGATTTGATAATGATAATCGAATGTATGAAGTAAACAACCAAGCACAGTTGCTTAAGTTAAAATGTATACCACCAGAGTGTATATCATATCTTGGCGATTCCTAAAAGTTACAATCCGTTATTTGAATAACGAATCCTGCAAGAGATAATTAAACTTCTCTTAATTATTTTAATGACTAACGAGCAGTAATCAGTGCGGTTTTTATTTAAATGTATGTATTTTATCACCAAATCCTATTGTGGTATAGTCTTTGAATAGCTACCTACTAACCAGATATACCACATATTTAGATTTTAAATTTTTACATAAAAAATTGTATTATACAGTCAATTTAACAATTTCTCTATTATATGACCTTGAATATTCTCTAAACACATGAAGTATGGTAATCATGTAATTTTATTTTTTGATCATAGTCTCTAACATTTCAATTTTGATTGTGATTTCAAAGTTTTTCATTTATTGATTAAAATATTTTTATAAATCTTTAATGCAATTCAATAAATATTGAACAAATTATAAATTTAAATATTTTTATTTGATCGTTTCAATAATCTGATCTTTTATTTCAAACCCCTGCATGAAAATTTGTATAGCTTTATTCACATCCTCATCCGTAGTGAGAAAACTGAAACTTATTTGTCCAGAACCTGGTGTTAACACTGCGTTATGAATTATTTTTGATAGCATACCATAAGCAACGGAAATTCGTAAACAAAATTCATCTTTTAATATTTTATTTTGTTCTAGTCGGTGTAATAATTTTTTAACATCATATTCTTCGCATTTTTCTAAAATATGTTGCCATTTCATCTGTCTTCTTAATCGTCTCTTTTCAAATACATCATTTATATCTTTTGGTACTTCAATTCTTATCTTACGAAAATGAGTATCCTCAAATTCTTCTATAGCCGAACGGGCTGTTACGAACCATTTAAATGCATTACTTGACTCCTAAAATTTTTAACAATAGATTTATGCTAATTTAATAATATGTATTCAGAATTTTCTATAATTTTTCAGTTTTTTGTTTTGAGAAATGCAATATTATTTAAATAATTATTTCATCGTAAGAAAATTTAAATTATAATTAAAAAAATATAATGTTCCTTGTGAATTAATTAAGAATAATAGAAATTTACAATATACTATTATTTCCATAAATGAAGTGTACATAAATGTATAAACATTATCTTCTGTTATGTATAAATATATAAAGAAGTTGGTATACTAGGAAAATAAAACGAAAAATATATATAGAAAGATGATGACAAATTTCTAAGAAAAAGGATTTTACTAACCATTTTTGATTCAGCCTTTATGGCTCTCTCTATTACTTCATTGTACACTGATAATGGAACCTGAAAATAAGAAAACATATTTAATTTTTTATTAGAATGTGTACATACATATGTATAGTTAAAATAAGCGTAAATGATACAAAATTTCTATGCTCATAGAACAGATTTTTTCATTTTTTAATATAATCTATACATGATTTACCGTCGATTCACCTTGTTTTGACATATTTTATTCAATAGTTGATGAAATACAACATTTATCATCTGTTTAAAACAAAATTAATTATACACATTTGAAATAAAAATGTTTGTAATTTGATAGTAAAAAATAAATGTAAAACATTATTTTTGTTAGTTGCTAGGTGAATTTAGACAAATAATGAAATAAATAAAAAAATATGCTATTAGACCTTATAACCTATGTTCTCTGATAAAATTCGTTGGAAGAGAAATTAATATAATTAAAACTATCGTATTTATTATTTTCTGTGATGAGAAGGTTAGGTTAGGTTACCTCGTTGGAAGTACTCAAAGTCCTCCGGGCTGCTATCAAGACAAGACGATACCGTCTGTTGCCGCCGCACATAGTAGGTATTATATTTTATTATTTATATGTTGCCGCTACCGACCGATCCACACACTCAACACAAACACTCATATACGCTAGCTGTTATTTTTATATTTATTTTTGTTTTAATTATATTGTGTTTTGTGAATTATATAATATTATTTAAATTAATTATCGGCGCGTTATCTGCTGCCGCCGGCTCGCCGGTGCGCGCAGATTAACGCGGCCGCCGAAAAAATTTGTCTTTCGTCGTACGCTGTATCGAACAGACCAACGGCCGTTTATATTATATTATATATATTAGTTTTTGAATTATAATATTTTGTTGCGCAAATCGCTATTAATTTTTTGTAATATTATATTTATGGTGTGCGCGAATCGCCACTTATTAATATTATAATTTTTCGTGTGCGCGAATCGCCACTAACTTTTATATTTATATTGTGTGCGAAAATCGCAATTTTGTTTTATTTATTTTGTTTGTGCTTGAATAGCCAATGTTTATATTTATTTGAATATTTTTTTTATCTTTCTTTTTTATATATTTCTACTTTGTATTTTCTGTGTCTGTGTATTAATTACCATTTATACAGCTAGGTAGCAGCTGGCCAGCAGTGCGCCGACAAACTGTGAGTTTTTATTATATATTTATATTTATAATTGAGCCAAAAGGGCTAATTATTATTATTTTATTATTGTAGCTCTAATAGCTATCTTTTTTATTATTTATTATTATTATATTTTTGTAGTAGCTCTAATAGCTACTTTATATTATTATATTATATTCTTCATTGTGGCTCTAATAGCTACCCTTTTATTATATTTTTAACTGTTGGGCCAAAAGGGCCGTAGCTTATTTAATATATTATTATATCATATATTTTTTCACCTATTGCATAAATTTGAGTTACCTTTATTTAGTTACCTATTCGTCCACTAGAATTAAGATTACACATATACACAAATACACACATACACACACCACCTACACACTAGCACCCACAGGATTTGCTCGGCGAACCTGTCCACTTCCTGTTGAGTGCTACACACATATACACACACATACACAGGTCGGTCGGTGTGTGACCGTATAATAGCGCATTAAATATTTGGCAACCGGGCACACGGCCTATTATTGTACGTACCCGGCCCTTACACCGTCACCAAGGCTGAGCGCGAAGGTATCTGCGATGAGCGCATTCGGCCGACCCGCTCTGGCCAACAAATTGCCACGGCTAAAATATCCAAATACGCTGCCTCCGTCATCACTAGAATACCGGTAGGATAGACAATGTGTCGGGTTAGACCGATAACACATCTACCCGAGAGGTGCTTCAGATATCAGGCGTTCGGTCACAACTCTAGGAACTGCACTAGAATCGACAGATCTGGAGTCTGTTGGAGGTGCGGTAACCTTGGCCATACTGCAAAAGATTGCTCTGCGAGCTCAGACAGCTGCCTGGCCTGTGACCTAGCAGGCCTCCCCAAGGTCTCCCATAAACCTGAATCCGGAACTTGTGCCGCAAGAAAGTCTACGCCCGCAAACCACCCTGATGATTAAATTCCTTCAAATCTATTTGAACGGGAATTTGGCGGCGGAGCAACTTATGAAGCAGACCGCTGCTGAACTCGAATCAGACATAATGATAGTTAGCGAACCGTTTACGCGACACGATCTCGATGATAAATGGTGTAACAGCTCGGATCGAAAGGCCGCGGTAGACATTTCCAATAATGTCCCTCTGGTACTCGAGCGTAAGGTTTTAGGACTGGGCTTCGCTTGGACTGAGTTCCGAGGACTAGCGGTCTTCAACCGTTATTGGAGGCCAAGGACCTACCTGCACCAATTCTCGATCTTTCTTTCCAACCTTGATCTAGTTATCAGAGTCCGCAGTGGTGTTAAACTGGTCATTGGCAGAGACTTCAACGCCTGGCACACCTATTGAGGCTTCCGTGCTGTCAACCCCGGGGGACAGATGCTGTTTGAGTTCGCTGCTGGTCTTGGACTCACCCTAGCAAATGTCGGAGACACGCCGACCTTTGTCAGGGGAGAAGCTACCTCGGTCATAGACGTGACCCTCTATAGGGGTATGTAGGAGGAGAATTCCCTCACCGACCATCAATACCTGGCCTTCACCATTGAACTTCAACCCGTGCCGCAGCCTACTAACGACCAGTTTCTACTCTACAGTAGACACACTGGCTGGGCATCTTTCCGTGTGTTGCGGGGCCCAACCAGTTCTTCCGGGTTGCCTCGGAGACACTCATCCCCTTTACGAAACCGTTTGGTTATCTCTTTCGGGCGGGAGACCCCGATGTTTATCCGGGAAACTCTCCCGGGGCACTACCTCTCTTTAGGCGCCATAATGAGTGATTGCCGCGGCCAGGGCCCGACGGATATCGCCCGAGTCTACTAAGGTGGTATTCCCACAACCACCACAAGTCCTTCCTGAAGTGTGACGGGCCTGCCGCGGACAAGCACGAGTCCTCGGTGAGTCCTCGCAGTCACGCGCCCCAAGTCCGTCACTCCCGGAGCGTCTGGGTGCTATTCGCAAGCCAACCCGACAGGGTTTACTCCGAGTCCCGTGGTATGAGGTTCGAACCCGGAGTTCCGGCCCTCGCAACTGCCTTGTCCGCAAGCAGGTCATCGGAGCACCGCTGTGTGTACCGCGACGACCCCTTTTTGAGCGTACGGTTTATTTTTTAGCAAATTGCCGTTTCTGCTTTGTGCCTCGTCTGTATCAAGCCCCGAGCTGGCTGAATTCGTGCACGTGTTTCGTTCGAAGGGTGGTCTGACCCCTATGGTTCGAGCTCTTGGTTTAGGCAAAAATTCATTCATATGGGGAGAGGGCACCCATATCCTGTCCCGCCCCTGTGAGGAGGCGGGCACCCATTTCGTCCCTCGAGGTATCCCGTCTCTCATTTCCGGTTTGGCGGGTCTTTGTATGGAGGGCATTCAACGATCCTGTGGGGGCGTCGTCTTAGTTCCCTGGGTTCGGCTATCTGGTCCTGCTTCGCCTGCCACTATCCGGTACTTCGCAGGCTTTCGCCCCGTCACCGTCTCTGACGGCCGACGGTCGTTTTGGCTAGGCCCACTCGGATGATTTGTGCCCGTGTGGAAGCGGAGGCGGTCCCGATGTCTCTGGCAGTGCGCCATGCCTGGCACATACGCCCTCTAGCCACACGCTTTTTCCACTTTATTTTTAAAATAGGGGTCCAGGTTGTGCCTACGGGATCGTCATGCATCTTTACGTTCTAGGACTATCCCGGGAGAAGGTTTTGAACGCAAGGAACATGGCCTCTGTAGAGGTCATGGTATCGCAGTCGTACGACCAGTTTACACCGGCCGCTTGCGCGGTGGCTGCGAGTTTTTTTCTTTCTGGTTATATACTGAGCAATCAAATAGCATACGCTCCGCGGTTTCCTCTGGGAGACCGCATTGGCAACGCACTTCGCCTCGAAGGTTGAAACGATAGAGCGACGAGTTAAAATTCCCGTGCCCGGACACGAACTGCGAGACGTAGTGGTTTGGAATGAACCACGGCCTCTTGAGTCTGCGCCAGGCGTCCGAGAACCAAATCGTCGTCCGCCTCCCTTTGTCGCTGGCGACCCATCTTTCCTGCCAGAGGCGTATGGGGGTCTTGTAATACTATTTCACCTTTCCAGCAACGTCTGACGCCGATTTGTTTCCTCTCCTTACGGCGCACTTGTCCCTTTCGATCTTAATCCCGGGGCAGTGGAAGAGGAGGTTGCTGGCCACAGAGGTGGAAAATCAGTTGCTGTACGCCGCATCGGTTTGGGCCAACGCGATCGTCGGTTCCGCCAGGACAGTGGCGCATCTGATAAGACCCCAGAGGATCATCGCTTTGAGGGTCATTAGAGCGTATCGGATCATCTCCGATGACGCGGCGCTGGTCTTGGCCGCGATGCTCCCAGCCGACCTTCTGGCGAAGGAGAGACTAAGGATCAAACTAGCATGCACGACCGATCCCTCCGGAGGCAACTGCCTGCTATCAAGGGCTAAGCTGAAAGAGAGGTAGAGAAAGGTGACGTTGGACGAGAGGTAGCAGAGATGGACGTTCTATAGAAAGGGACGCTGGACCTGTAGTTTGATCCCCGACGTGAGGCGATGGGTGGGAAAATCTATCCCTAGGGTCCCACTCATATATAGGATGACACAGGCTTTGTCGGGGCATGGCTGTTTTCAGCAGTACCTGCATCGCATGGAACAAGCTGAACGCCCCCATTGCGTGCAGTGTGGCAACCCTAGTGATACGGCGGAGCATACCATCGTCCACTGCCCGTACTGGGAGCAGTATCGGACGGATTTGGTTGTCCGCCTGGGGTATCGACTGACTGCTGAAAACGTGACGGACATAATCTGCGGGCCTACCGAGGTACAGATCCCCCAGGACCACATCAAGAGGAACATTGCCCTTGAAAATTCTCTTGAAACATTCAGAATTTTCCACAAGATGGCGGAGGACATCATCTTTATCAAGGAGGTCGAGCGGCCAGGCAAATCGCTGTACATTGAGACAGAGAAGAATGGAGGATTCAAGGTCATCAACGGTGGTTAATCGGCAAAGGCGGACTCAACCGGTGTACCACAATGGGCGTCCAAGACAGCTAGGATAAGTTACGTATTTGTTAATGTTACTATAAGGGTGTAATTACGGGGTACTGTCCTAAATGCACCTAATTTATAACCATTGTTGTTATCGTCTTGTAAAGCTCTAGTTGCAAGTATTGTCCCAACTATGTCCTACTAATTTTGCTTGTTATTATTTGTATATTTGTTTTGTTTACAAATAAACGATAGCGCGCGGTTAAAGTTTCGAAGAAATGTTCCAGGTTAATTTTTTGTCTAAGATAACTCCTAGATATTTTATTGTTGGAGACCAGGATATGTTGTCGCCATTAAGTACTAGAGAGGGAGGGTTATTGGGACGACGAAGTGTAAATAATACTGCCGTACTTTTTGAGGGGTTTAGGATAATTTTCCATTTTTTCGCCCAGCATTTTATTTTGTTTAAGTGGCTCTGTATATTATCAGTAACAATGTGGACATCGCTGGTGCTTGAATAGACAACACTGTCGTCAGCGTATAGGGAAACTTCTGTGTTAGGATTAGTGGGAAAGTCCGCGATGTATAAATTAATAAGCAGGGGAGAGATTTTGGATCCTTGGGGAATATCGGCTGTTATTTTTTTTATTGTTGAACTGGTGTCATTTATGCGAACTGCAAAACAACGATCAGAGAGGAAGGATTTAATTATATTAAAGATGGTAGGATGGGTATTTAATGTTTTTGATTTGAATAGTAGGTCGTCGTGCCAGACACGATCGAATGCTTGCGCAATATCTAAAAAGGCTGCACCGGTGTGAAGTTTTTTTTCAAAACCATTATTTATGTGTTCAGTTAGGCGGAGGAGTTGTTGAGTAGTTGAGTGCTTTGGTTTAAAACCAAATTGATGATGTGGAATGGCTTCAGTTGCATCTAGATGTTTTGTTAATCTGGTGTATATGATTTTTTCAAATATTTTGGAGACTGAAGATAGTAGACTTATGGGCCGGTAACTATTAGGGCTTTTGTTGTCTTTTCCAGGTTTTTTTATCATTATAATTGTGGCTTTTTTCCATTCAGTTGGAAAGTGGCCGATTCTCATTAATGAATTGAATAAAGTAGATAAATATGTGATTGCTTTTATTGGGATTATTTTTAATATAGCATTTGTGATGAGATCGTGTCCTGGAGATTTTTTGTTTGGTAATCTTTTTATTATTTCATTAATTTCAGTAGGGGTGGTGTAGGGAAGTATGTTTTGTGGATGAATATCTGGTTCCACTAGTTTGTTGCGCACCGCGGTTTCTGTTTCGGTGTCAACAATATTGTTCGGTGAAAAAGTATTTTCTAGGGTTTTGGCAAAGAGTTCGCATTTTTCAGCATTTGAGTTTAGGTAAACGTTATCAGATTTTAACGGGGGTATAACACTAGCGTTTGGTTTAATTAAACGTTTGGTAGCGAGCCATAGGTTTGAGTCCGAAGGATGAATTGTAGATAAATAATTTTGGTATGAGGCTATTCTTTGTTCTTCGATTAAAGTTTTTACTTTTTTAGTAAGATAATTAAGATTTTTCCGGTCTTCAGTTCGCCTATGGAGCTGCCACAGTCTTCTGGTACGGTGTTTTATTTTTATCAATTTTAGAATTGAAGTAGGTATTTGAGAAAAAGTATTAATTTGAGATATGTTACAAGACGGGTTTGAATAGTGTTCCGCTGCTAGATGAATAATTTCCTGAAAATGATTTGTGGCTTCGTCGGCTGTAAAAGTGTTATTTATGTTTTTCGGGATTTTTATATTGTGAGTTATATAAGTTTTAAATTTTTCCCAGTTTGGTTTGCCGTTTATAAGTTTACGT